CGGCTGAGCGCGTCGTGGTGGCGGCGAGGCAGCAACTCTGCACATAAGCAACACGAGTCTCCAGTCCTCGTTGCTGCGGCCGTCCCCGCAGCTCCACCCTCACCTCTCGTCATCAAACCCATTGAAGCGACCGTGCGCGACAAGAAGAAGGAAGAGATGACCAAGCTCCTCGATGATCCCGATAAGCTAGCAGATGCTATGACGCGCTCCACCAGACTTCGGGACCAGCTGGTGGAAGCTGACACCATCCTCAACGAGCTCGGCTGGCAGTGGGGAGCTCAGGCGAACGAGATATGGGGAGAAGGCTGCGGGCATAGATACCTTGCGGACGCGACCGTGTCGTACGCAGCTGCCGAAAGCACAGATGCTAGAAGAGAGTCTGGGACCTCTTCCACTTCGGATGTGGACATGACAGACGCAGGAGATATGAACCTGCCTTCCACCTCGATCAGCAATCATTCTACAGACGAAGCCGCAGAATTTGTGCACAGAGGCAAGCGATATCGGCGACACTCTCTCGGAGCTAAAGTGGTGAACAAGCGCCCCAGGTCTTCATCCACCGTGACTCTCGACAGCAAAGGCCTTTTGCCCACCGGTGCGGCGCCCTTGCTTCATTGGAGAGGCTTCAACAAGGCATATCAGCAGGGCTCGCTGGACATGGACGAGGTGCATTACCAGCCTCGAGGTGCACCGGAATTCTCCACTTGCCCAGACGCCACGCCGCTCGCCGTAGGCGAATACAATCCGCCTGCGCCCGAGTGGGAAGCGCGCCGACTGAGGGCTTATTGGAGAATGCAAGTCGATAGAATCTCTGTCGATCGTATTGGCCGGATCACATCCCGCTTGGAGATTTGCAGAGCTTATCTGGGCGTAGGCGAAGCGAATCTTCGCTTTTTTGAAGCTGATGGGACTGTGACCACAGTGAAAGAGGATCGCTTGCTGCGCGCTCCTCCTTCTAAACAAAGCGGCCTGTGTGCGCACGCATTACGTGAGTGGGCAGAAGCGGACCTTGCTTCACGTATCCTTCACCTGCATCCCACATCTTCGGTAACTGACACAGCGATTTCACACCATTTCTGCCTCACAGTCAATCGAAACAACGGTCTCGTGATTCTTGACACCAGCTTGGATTGGAGGTTTCAAACTCTTGGTCTAGTAGGGACGCGGTTCTACACTGGTATGCCTGTGCTGGCTTCCTCCGGCTTACCGGTGGCCGTGGTTTCGTTTTCCTGCCAAAGAGCTTGGCGGATATTCAAGCCTGATGAAAGGGCAAAGGTCCGTGAAGTTGCACGAATGATTGGGAACGAGCTGGAGGCTCATTTGCGAGAAATTTGGGAGGCCAAGATCACCTTGATGACCCAGAGCTACGCAGATATCAAGACGTGCCTCGAAGACTCGAAGTGGAGGAGCGGACTGAAGCTCAAGACGAGCCGGACGCATATGGGCAGCGAGTACGGGCGTGCAGCCGAAATGCAGCACAACGAGTCGTCGGGAAGTTGCCGACCCAAGATTACCGTCGTCGGCCCTCCAAGCCCCGCTCCGTACGTCAAGCACGTTCCTCGCGGATTGGGCAACAATGTCTCTCACAACCCTATCGATCTCGAAGCGCTCTCCAAGATCGGAGTCATGCTCTCACTGGAAGACACCGATCGATATCGGACAGCCTGTGAGCACATGGCCGCCAGCTTGAACATCGAGACCGTATACGTGATCGCTGTCAATTTGCTGGAACAGTCAATCTCGCCGTCGACGGTGGAAGATAACACCAAGGTGCCATTTGTTGCTCCGCTCTCGCCCGCCTTGTTATCGCCCTCAAAAAACATCCCTACTTTGCTCGTGCCAAGCAGCTCAATGTTGCCAGCAACCTCCAAAGACGCGCGCAAAGACGCCTGCATTCTCTTGGCCTGCCATGGACTGCCGAGTCCCTGCCCTATCTTCGAGAGCAAGCTCCATTCGCGAGTATTCTCAAGTGGTCATGACCCCTTTCTCGTCTTTCAGAATGATGGAAAGCGCGGCGTTGTAGATCCGGAAGTTGACAAAGATCTTCTTCTACCTCGCCGCTGTTCCGAGGAAAAACGCAAGGAGACGTTTTATAGCGGAATAATGGTGCAAGTCATGACTGACCTGGAGTGGAAACGCAAGAAGCAGAAAGAAGATCATGACAATACTGGCGCGCCCAGCTATGAGCCGCCGACGGCAGCGGAGAGCACAACCTCGCCGCCCGCCAAGACGGGCTTTGTACTTGCAGCTCTTTCAAGGCGGCCCGACCGTGCGTTAGCGATTGAGGATCTTCGGTACTTGCAAGCGTGCCAACCGATGCTGAAGAAGGCCATCATGAAAGCCATGGATGCGGCCGAGAAAGCGCGCGATGGC